TTAAGGCAGCAGTTCTCAAACTTCAGCAAACTGAGGATCCCCATTTTGATTTAAATGTTTCAGGGACCTTCCAGGCTCCCTCCCAGCCTTTGTCCTGACCCCTTCTCTGAGGTCTTGCCTCCTACTTACTGATCCCTCCTCCCTCCATTGCTTCTTTTCCCTACCCTCACTGTCACCAGGCTGAGGCAGGGGGTTAGGGTGCAGGAGACGGTATGGACTCTGGGTGTGGGGGGGTTGGGTGTAGGAGGGGGTGGGGCTCCCACCAGTTGGCAGCTCTCAAAAGCAACTGGCACATCCCTCTCGCAGCAGCTCCTAGGTGGGAGGACTAAGGGATCACAGTGTGCTGCCCACATGTTGCAGTTTCTAGCCAATGAGAGCTATGGAGTTGGTGCTCAAGGTAGAGTAGGGGCAACATGCAGAAACCTCCTCCCGCTGCCCCCAAGGGCCTCAGGGATGTGCTAGCCACTTCTGGGAGTGTTGCAGACCCAGGTCAAGTAGGAAGCTGGCCTTAACCCTGCTGTGCTGTCAGACTTTGTGTGCAGAAGACAGAGGGAGACGAGTTAATCAGCAGGGCCCACGGATCCCAGTTTGAGAAATGCTGTTCTAAGGTTTACTTCAATAGCATAGTTATATTATGGTAGCTTCTTATCATTCTGAACCCTGATGAAAGATGCTAGCAACATTTTGAGCAATACTAGAGACAGCACTGGGGTATTTCTATTATGATCTTGATTTGTGGAGTTGGCATGATGTACTGGATTTGTATGTGATGATGTACCACAACTGTTGCCCCTGCCAGTTGTGGAAATTTCCTTTTAGCACCTCTGTTGTAGAGATGAACCTGTTTCTAGTTGTGGATTCTGAGAGAGAGAGGGGAGGGTGTGTGTGTGTTTGTGTGTGGTGGTGTCTCTTGCCTACAGCACAGGGATTCATAGTTAGTGTTCAGATATTGGCCCTTTTAATTTTCATGTATACAAGTACCAATATGCAATACTGTCCAGAAATAATGTCATTGCATTTAAAAGATCTATGGTCCTAAAGTGTCAAAGCCTAAGACCCTCATCCTTCGATTTTTGTAAAGTGGTGCTCAGTCTCACTCCTCATTAGTGTTGCAAGCACTTTTGTTCTTTGCAACTACAGTAGGTACATTTATTATTGCACTAATAGAGGTTAACATTAAAAACTGGGTCAGACCAATAGTCTGTCTAGTCCAGTATCTTGTCTTCTCCCAGTGGCCATTGCCAGATGCTTCAGAGAGAATGAACAGAACAGGGCAATTTATCATGTGATCCATCCTCTGTCATTCAGAAGTCCCAGCTTCTGTCAGTTAAAGATTTAGGAACACCCAGAATATAGGATTGCTTTTTTTGACAATCTGGGCTAACAGCCACTGATGGATCTACCCTCCCTGAATTTATCTAATTCATTCTTTCTCTCTCTCTCTCTCTTTTTAAACCTATTTATGCTTTGGGCCTTCACTAATTCTCTGTCAATGACTTCTATAGGTTGGTTGTGCATTTTGAAGATGTACTTTCAGTTGTTTATTTAAAACCAGTGGCTTATTAATTTCATTGGGTGTTCCTGGGTTCTCATGTTATATGAATAGGTAAATAACATTTCCTTATTCACATTTTCCACAACTTTCATGATTTTATAGACCTCTATCATACCCATTTAGTCATCCTTTTTCTAAGCTGAACAACCTTGATCCAGAAAGCTTTTAGTTTCTCCTCATTTGGAAGCCATTTCATACTCTGAATCGTCTTTATTACACTGGAACTGGAAAATATTTTGAGCGGTATCCTGGACAAAGTACGGAAGGTGTGGGTACATCATGGATTTATATATTGGCATTTTGATATTTTTTGTCATCCTTTATCCCTTTCCTAATGGTTTCTGACACTATTAACTTTTTTGACAGCTTCTGAACATTGAGAACTAGCTACAAAGACTCCAATATCTTTTTTTGAGTGGTAACAGCTAATTTAGACACATCATTATTTATGTACACTTGTGATTGTTTTTCAAAATTCATTATTTTGCATTTATAAATATTTGACTTTCATCCGCGTTTTTGTTGCTCAGTCTCAAGTTTTGAGAGCCCTTTTATTTTTTTGCAGTCTGCTTTGGTGTTATCTGTAAACTTTGTCACCTCACTATGAACCCCTTTTTTCAGATCATTTATTAATATATTGAACAGTATTGGTCCCACTATAGCATTTTGGGGAACCCCACTATTCTCTCCACAGTGAAAACTGGCCATTTATTCCGACCCTTTGTATCCTCCTTTTTAACCAGATGGGGTATGTCTACACTACCACCCTAGTTCAAACTTGGGTGGTTAATGTAGGCAACCAGAGTTGCAAATGAAGCCCGGGATTTGAATTTCCCGGGCTTCATTTGCATATTGCCGGGCGCCGTCATTTTTAAATGTCCGCTAGTTCGGACTCCGTGCCCGCGGCTACATGCGGCACGAACTAGGTTGTTCGGATTAGGAACGAGGTGTACTGGTAGTTCGGAATAGGAAGCCTAATCCGAACTACCTAGTTCATGCCACGTGTAGCCGCGGGCACGGAGTCCAAACTAGCGGACATTTAAAAATGGCGGTGCCTGGCAATATGTAAATGAAGCCCGGGAAATTCAAATCCCGGGCTTCATTTGCAACTCCGGTTGCCTACATTAACCACCCTAGTTCGAACTAGGGTGGTAGTGTAGACATACCCTTACTGATTACACCAGTAGTCACCAAACTTCACCAAAGGTTTTCAGGGAAACTAAACAGGGAAGGGATAGGAGGGAAGGTACACAAGTGGACCTTTGGTGCATGACCTTATCAAAGGCTTTCTGAAGAATCCAATTACATCATATCACCTGCATCACTCTAATCCACATGCTTATTGACCGCCTCAGATAACTGTAATAGTATGGTAAGATGTGATTTCCATTTACAAAAGCTGTGTCGACTCTTCTGTAACATATGTTTATGTCTTATACTTTTGTTCTTTATTGTTGTTTCAACCAGTTTGCCTAGCATTGAAGTTAGGCTTACTGGTCTGTAATTGCCAGGATCACCTCTGGCGAGTTATTTAAAAATTGGTATTACATTTACTACACTCAAGTCATCTGGTACAGAGGCAGATTTCAGTGGTGAGTTGCATACCACAGTTAGAAGTTCTATCATTTCATATTTGAGATCTGTCAGAACTCTTGAGTAAAGACCATCTGGTCCTGATAACTTCCTACTATTTCATTTACCAAAACTTCCTGTATTGACTCCTCAGTCTGGTCATGTCCTCTGTTAGGTGTGGAAATCTCTCTCATTGGGAAGGAAGGGAAAACAAGAAAGTGCGCGTTCCACCTCTGCCCACAATAGTGCGTCTGCTTTCTTGGCTTCCCTTCCTTCCCTGTGCTCAGGGAAGGGGGGGGGGGTTAGGATGGTGGCACAGGATCCTAAGTGGCTGGATTTTTTTTTTTTAAAGGAGCCATATGTGTGCTTCTTCCAGTGTTGTCTGCAGATCCTGCACCAGAGATCCTTATCCCTAGAGACCCCCATGTGCCAACTGAGCTGCCCCTGCCACCTCTCCCCTAGCCAGACCCCCACCAGCACCCTGGCCCCAGGCCAGACCCTCAACCAGCATCCTGCTCCTGCCCCCTCCTTCCGGGCCAGACACCTATCCGCAGCTTGTCCCTGTACCCGACTTTCCACCCAGATTCTGCACCCCCATCCCTATCCCACTCACTGGCAGCCCTGTCCTGGAACTCCAGAAGAGTTAATCTGGCCTGAACCTCAGTCCTATCTATCTTTCCTCCTTGGGGCTGGAGTTCCAGGGAATTGAGGTGTCTCAGTTAGGGCCACAGGGGTTGCTTTTTGCATCTCACTTGTGTAGTCCCCGACAGATTTTTTTTTTCTGTGGGTCAGTGGCCCCTGATCCAAAACATGTTCCCTGCCCTTCATAAATAAAGACAATGCTGAAATGTTTTGTGTTGGACATAATATTTTATTTAAAAATGAAGCCTGGACAGCACGCTCCCCATTGGGGCCCAGCCCACATCTGGCCTCAGCATTATAACACTCCTACACACGCGCACACACCCAGACTCCAACTCTGAGCCCATCAGACCCCTATGCCCTGAGCCCTTATATATCCCCTTCTCCACCTCCTCCTGCACCCAAATTCCCTCCCAGATCTTGCACCTCTCACCC